ACCGGTTATCTGTGTGTGTGGCGAGACAAGATAATCCTATCTTAACCCTTTTTTTCATCAGACAATCAATACGTCATTTTAAACATACTAAATCTTTTTTTTTTGTAATTTCTAACCTTTACGAACCTTTTAGTTCAATAAACATGATTACGTAGCTACGAGGCGACCAGATTTGTTATCTTTTCATATCAATGAATTTTATTATTTTTTGCGCAGCAAGCTGACATTGTTTTCATCATGGTAGCATTGTAAACAGGTCTTTACCATCTATGAACCTACTGGCAATCTTCTAAAATTTTCCATTGTAGTCACATATGTTGCCTTTAAATATATAATTAATCTTTACTTACTTTGAACTAAACTTCATCAAATCCTTGGCTCATTTCCCTTTATTATGCAATTGTAGAGCCTCAAGTGGTCGTATTTTCCTTATCAAGTTTATATCTGACTGCGATGCCATCACATGTTGCCGTGTGAATTCACGCACTTATTAATGGAAAGCATATGTGTGAATTTTGAAGTCTTCTTCCTTCTACTCCTCGTTTCTTCTTTTCACCATTTGTTTTAATAAGTGGGCCACATTTTACACTAGGTCATAAGCACACTTAGCTTCTACCGTGACCCGAAGTTTGACCTAAATCAGGGCAAAAATATTTGCACATGAGGAGAGTATTTCTCCATGATCACATGTAGTTTGCAGGTATCAAAACTTGTTTTGTGGTTATTCCAGAAGGGCTGATGCAATTGTTCCTACCTGGAAGACCTTTCTCCTTAAGACGAATATTTAAGATGCAAAGAAAATTCTTCAGTGGCATGATTTGCTCAAGCTAACCATTATTTTAACAAAACACAATCGCAGTCGTGCTTCGGGTAAATCAACAGCTCAATCTTATCAGAGATGCCAAAAGAATTAGATAAAATGATCTTACAATGCCGAAGGGCATTTTTCTAATGGGTCGCTATTTGATTAGTAAAAACCTCCTAGAGCTGTTCTCATTGGCTACCATTTAGCCAATCACCGACGCCTGCGGACTTGAATCATACGGATTTACGGGAGCGTCGAAATCGACATATCAAATCTTTTGTGCAGAAAATATAAACATGAGAATTTCTTTTATTTCCACAAACTTTGATCTTTAAAATCCCCATTTGGACAGTTCTTCCCCAAGATAGTTAAAAAAGGGTAGTGGAGTTTTCATTGTGCATGAGTATATTTTTGTTCTTTTCAAAAAATAATTCTACCCGAGTACGGATAAATAAAACACCAAACAAACAACTAACGCAACACAAGTTACGAATGCGGATTGAGTGGAAGGGTGAGTCAAGCCAAGAAGTGGTGAAAGGAGAGGGAAAACAGGACCACAATTATTGGGAGATAGATGCTCCTACACATAGAGAAAGATTGCGCGGTACTTCTCCTGCCAGCAGCAACAGCAGCGGCAGCAGTAGTGACACTAGACTTTTAAAAGATTTGTAATGGTGAGAAATCATTCCCATTTTTTAGTTTTTTTTTCCCTACGCAATTCGAACCCTCACTCGTTGATGTGGCGCCCCGATTCTCCCACCACCATACAGCCATTTGGTGTGCTTTCGGTCGTGTGGAGGTCTTGACATCACCTCACCACCCCTACGCATGTAGCGACGTTGAGCTGAGACCTCCGCTAGCAATGCAGCGCGTGTCGCCATCTGTGCGCTGACAGCCACCATAGTCGGTGCCAGAGCCTGACGAACCACAGCGGAGGCGGCGCGATTAGCCGGCGGAACTTCGCTATGTCGGGCGACAGCGGCACGGCCACGTCGTGCTAGTCGATGCTGTCGACGTGAACTTAACGACGACGATGGCGGTGATGGAGGGGCCTTGGTCGGCGTCTCTGTACTCGTGTGAGATGAAGATGCTGATGACAATGAGTCATCGGAGGTGCGGACATCTAAGTCAGGACTGTCCACTTCGTAGACGTTCATTAGAGACCAGTCGGAGGCTGTAGATCAAAGAAGACGGCACAAATGACAAGCGTGTCAATGGCGCATACATATGTCATAATTAACCAGTCTGTGATAGGGAATGATGGACCATGACAGCGGCATCCACCAATTGAGATTAAATTAGCCTTGGCCCATAAGATCTTGGCGCTGCTCATGGCCACCAATCAGATGCATAGTTGGTTCACTGACAAAAAAAAAGTAGAGAACGGGTGCCGACAGCCCTTGTAGTTGAGTTACTGTTTTGTTTCTGCTGTTTTCATTGAATGTCGATAT